CCCCCCTTCCCCCCCCCCCCCCCCCCATGCAGGCACATGCAAACAGACCAAAAAACTAACAGGACATGAAAGAAAGAAAAAGGAAACGAAAACTACCTCCTCTATTGGTCCTTGACTGATTTAGAACGGCATTTTTATCCTCCAGGAGTCTAGGACTCTGCTACCAGGAGGTTGTCATATACTCTGGTAGTGAGCGGTTGTTTTTCCCTCCCTCCCATGTTATAGATAGCACTTGATGTTTTATAGGAGGAAAAAAATACAATAATAAGGCATACCAATAAGGGAAAAGATGTAGTTTATAGGTCATAGTGCTTGGCCTCAAGAACTGATTTTTCTACTACTTGCATTTCTCCCCTTTCAATTCACTATTATTATGCACTCTATTTATAAATACAAGAATGATGTTATGTAATTACCTATTCTTTGCTTCTCCCAAACAGAAAGATACAGGTGACCTTACTGCTCAAAACAGTGAACTGAAATTGGAGTTGCAAACATTGGAACGACAAGTGCACTTAATAGACGGTAACAGTCTATCCTTAGCTATCTTTGCAGGATGGTTTTGGTTCCATTCTTCCTTATCATCTTCTTCACCACTCTTTGGCTTCTCCCAAAATAAATTAAAAAAAGAAAAAAGGAATGGAAGAAAAATTGAAAGTAAAAGGTTCAGACTTGAGATGACACTGACTTCAGAGTGTAGAACTAGGCTGTTTCAACTTTCACACTTTTGACGACTCTCTCATTTGAACTTTTTAAATTGTTCCTAAAAGTAGATATCCAATGAGTGTTGGTGATGCCTACTGCAGCTTTCGAAACTGGGCTGCAAGTAAAGAACAATGTGATTTCGAACATCCTGTGTTTAAAATACAAACATGCAGACATGATTTTATAGTTGGCCAACTTACTCAAAGGTAGGTTTTAGATTATTTACTAGGGCATCATCCTTCGAAGTGATATTGAAGTCATTCAATAGGTGAACGATTTGTACTTCGTCAATGCATTGAATGCAACGGAATTCAATTCTTAGCCTTTCTCGAGAACGTTGATTTTGTTTTGTTTTATTTTTTATTTATTTTTCCCTGGTAGACTCCATAAAAACTGCTAAATGATGTTTTCCACCCTTATTTTCTTCTTAAAAACACACCATTGGATGAAGCAGTAAAGGAAGAGGTCCAGCATCCGGAAGTGCAGATGGGTCAAACAATTCAAAATAGTGGACCTATGATGAATCTTCCTGCATCTTATGGAGCCAGCCAGCATCCCGACCATGACGATATGGCTACATTGTTAACTGTTCAACAATTTCAACAGCTCCATATACATTCTCAGAATGGGCAGCAACAATATTCAATGCAGCCACAGGCTCAAGCCAGAAACTTGAATCTAAGAGGTTTGGGGCCATCTTCCATTCAAAAAGACAATGCTACTTCAGGCACATCACCAGAGGATTAGAATCTGGAACTGGTAGATGAGCTGGCTGTTGGATGGTTATTAGTTGGTCCAGAATCTTGTTGGTTGTAGTTTTGATTGGGTTTTGTGCTTTTGGTTAGTATGCTTACATGCATCAAACTTTAACATGGCTCTATGTGGATTCTGTTGAAGTTTAGTTTGTTGAATTGCAAAGATTATTATCCAAATATTGTTCTGTTGAGTATGGGTCTTCCATTGGACACTATTTTCCACCATCGTGTCTGCCTTTTACCTGAAATTTTGAGAATTGAAAAGATTTTGGGAGAGTCGAGTAGCCAAATCACACCTCACAAGGGTTTTGGTGGATGAAGAGAGAGAGAATGAGATACATACAACAAAAGCACATAAAACTGTGTGAATAAAGAAGGTAAGAAAATGGATGTGTTGAATGTGGATATGAGCAGGACTCAACTCATCCAGCTAGGGTTGTTACTCGGCTTGTCAACCCACGGGCTTTACTCGGTCCCTAACACGAGTTGACTCGTCTCATGGGTCCATATTTGTCATTATTTCTTACAAAAATTTAAATAAAATTTATTATAGAATTATTTCATAAAGTAACATGGCCTAAAATTTGTTAATGGTGTAATGGAAAAATCAATTTTTCATTTTCAAAATTGTTTGTACATATATTAATTTAAAGCGTAAATTTATTATAAATAAATACCTATTAGTATTTTATTTTAATTTTTTTCTTGATCCAAACTTTTCCTCGTTTATATAGCCCTTGTTTGGTCTTTATAAAAATGAGATTTTGAACAAAAATGTATTTTGAAATAATAATTTTTTAAAGAATGTACGGTTAAAAAGTAAGAAAAAATTTAAGATTTATGTGTAACATTATTTTACAAAATAATGTACGATTGAAAATGAATTTTGAAAAAAATCCATTTTTTGGAAAATGGAACCCAAACAAGGACATATAGACATATTTTGAGCAATTCTATATAAACAGGGCCACATAGGCCCTATTTTGGTGGGGGCTCTGTTTGAGAAGATTTATTCACAAATTTTTAACGATTACATAGATAAGACTTTATTATGATCGAATCGATATTAATGTCTTATATTGCATAGAATTATATTAATTTTTTGCTTCACCAATGTATCTTTTTGCATCTTGTTTACCGCGTTCTGTTAATTGTTCTATAACTTTTAAGCACTATTTTAGTAAAAGTGTACTATTTTTGCCACAGATATAAAATGATCTATCTATTCCTTATTTATTACTCCCTCCGTCCTATTTATATGGGCTGACTTTGTTTTTTACACGGATTAAAAAAAATCTTATTCAATGTTATTGAAAAAACAATTTTTGCCAACTTTCTTGATTTTCTTTTATTTATATTTGTACAATTTCAAGATTAAGCGGGAAAAATTGGTTATAATTAGACAAATTAAATAAGGGTATATTTAGTAAACGAACAAAACAAAACAAAACATACGCAATAAAAAGACATGACTACACAATTGAAACAAGGAAATAAGGAAATTTAGTTTATATGAATAGGACGGAAGGAGTATCATATTATCAATAAAATTTAGAAGTCAGACGGACTATGCGACACCCATGGTGCAAGAACTTCCAGACGAGCCTTCCGCCCATAAGATCAGCAAGCTCAATTTAAGCTCACACAGGAGACTTTTTGAGTACGATACAATTCGAATACTCGCATATGATGCCCACATTCGATGCGCACAATAACAACAATCTTGTCGGGCATGGATAGGTACAGTTCGTTGGTTTTCTAACATAATCCATGTAATGGGTTCATATGTGATTCGTCAATAGTAATGTTATATATAATAGAGTCAAAATTAACAATTAATTTTGACCATGTATTTAATAGGACACACAACTTTTCAACTATATATTTCATCAACATTTATTAAAATCTGATTTTAATATTCACCAAATAAGGGCGTATTTGGTAAGACCATGCAAAATTGTATGTGTTTTGAGTACATAATGCATATGTTTGGCAAGGCTGAGATTATAATTTAAGCAAAACTTGTGGAGCAGATTTCGCGAGTCTTATAGAATGTACAATTAATAAGTGGGTAATAATTATGGATAGTTACGAATTCTACAAAATGTGTGAATAAAAATGATGCCAAACAAAACTCACAATACTCTAGCACTCCCTTTTCCTCTGCAAGGCTAGAATTATGCAAAAGCCTAATCACCAAAGGCATTCGAAGGTGTGACACTAGTAATCACCCCTCTTTCCACCAGTTATCCCTACAAATGCAAGCCACAACCATCAGCAATCTCATCGATATCGAGACAATTTCTGATGAAGGTGACATCTATTAGGTCTATACAAATGTAACTATACAGATAGAATCAGAAAGAAAGATAAAAATTACTACTATAAAATTAACAAATGTAACAATGTGAGAGAGAGAGAGAGAGAGAGCTTTTTTACAATGTCCCACTTGTTTCACAATCATATGATATTACCAAAGTACAAGTCCGAGGCATAAAAGTGAATTTTCAACAGGTACACACTTATAAGAACCAATCTCATTCTATTCACAGGTAGACCACAGTATACTTTAAGATCTGACTCACAAGTTGTTAACATGCATGTCTTCTCTTGACTGCATCTTTCATTTCCTGCACAAACGTCAATATTTCATATAATTGCACCGAAAGCTGAAAATAACAGAAATATGACTATATACTGCATTATATATGAGAATAAAACTTTAATTTTCCACCTTCGGTCCATAAATCTAAAGATTCTGTACCAATTTTTATAGAATCATCAAAATTCACTAAAATTCTTACAAGATTCACCCCACGTAACATTACGGCAAAAGGTGATTTATATCAGCAAATGCTGTCCTTCACTGAAGAAAGACATAACAGGAGAAAATTTTTTACAGAGGCATACCAAGGGAGCTTGAAAGCATCTTTCCACCATCCATGTTTGGAGCATTTCACAACAACTTTTTCCAAACGGACAATGATCTCTGAAAATGTTGGACGTCCAACACAATCCGGATGGCAACATTCTTCGATCAACCTAGGTATGTAGCACAAGTAATCAGGGGGAAAAAAAGTTACTAAAGCTATAAAGTCAATCAAAACCATAGAGCAAAAAAAAAAAAAGAATACTTTGTTTGGGAAAGGTGAAGAAGGGAGATAAAGTAGTTATAGTAACAAAGTATATTGAACATTTAAAATATCAGTTATCTTATTACTGAAAACCTCCTGGAGATAAACAATTCCAATTTGAGTAAAATACAGTTCACTATCCAGAATTCAGTCACTTCTACAGTTACTAAAGCTATAAAGTCAATCAAAACCATAGAGCAAAAAAAAAAAGAAAAAAGAAAAAAAGAATACTTTGTTTGGGAAAGGTGAAGAAGGGAAATAAAGTAGTTATAGTAACAAAGTATATTGAACATTTAAAATATCAGTTATCTTATTACTGAAAACCTCCTGGAGATAAACAATTCCAATTTGAGTAAAATACAGTTCACTATCCAGAATTCAGTCACTTCTACTGAAATATACCTAAAGACCACATGCAGATTGAAAAAGTAAATTATCTCACGAAACCGTAACTGGAGAAAAATCTTCAAACTTAAAGCATGATTCGCTTAACATCTTTTCTGATATAGAAGCATAATTTTATATAGAAGAGAGAATTACAGTACACAAAACAAAGGTAAAAACAAGCACAGAAATTTGCCACGAGATTTACATCACTGCATCTCAACGGTGATTAAAATGGAGAAACTGAACAAGGAAAAAGGAAAGCAAATACAGATAAATTTGGAAGAAAAAGAAAAGAAAAGAATGACTTACTTTTTTAAATCAGGAGGGAAAGATTTAGATTTCATCTTTAGGGCCAGTCTCTTATCATCTAGAGAGAATTACAGTATACAAAACAAAAGGTAAAAACAAGCACAGAAATTTGCCACGAGATTTACATCACTGCATCTCAACGGTGATTAAAATGGAGAAACTGAACAAGGAAAAAGGAAAGCAAATACAGATAAATTTGGAAGAAAAAGAAAAGAAAAGAATGACTTACTTTTTTAAATCAGGAGGGAAAGATTTAGATTTCATCTTTAGGGCCAGTCTCTTATCATCTAAGGTCATCAACTTAGCAATTTCTTCAGGAGACTTTGAAAATGGTGGCACGCCCTCCACCATCTGAATCAATATATACAGACATATGCATAACACAGGAAGTTGATCATACATCTTGCGAAATTGTAAATCAATGGTATCATGATGGATCTAAAGGAGTACTGGGGGAAGTGAGGAGGAAAAATAGACTTACGGGTTATCTTTTGCAGTGGAGTACAAAGATTCTCCATAACATTCTTAAAGTATATTATAGAGTTTCTTACTAAAGAGAGTTGAATAATCAACATGCTTCTTTTACATAGTAAAGCAAACATGAGAGAGTAAACCATTTGAAAAAGAAAAATCATCTCAAAAAGATTTAGAAATACGGATCTAAAGGAGTGAAGTGAGGAGGAAAAATAGACCTATGGGTTATCTTTTGCAGTGGAATACAAAGATTCTCCATAACATTCTTAAAGTATATTATAGAGTTTCTTACTAAAGAGAGTTGAATAATCAACATGCTTCTTTTACATAGTAAAGCAAACATGAGAGAGTAAACCATTTGAAAAAGAAAAATCATCTCAAAAAGATTTAGAAATATTTGATAAAATAATAATGCAGGAGAAGTTATGGACAGGGAAATATACTTGCTTGCATTATAATTTTCTCCATAGTCAAACAAAATTATAAGGATGAAAAATATTACCTCATAAAGTAAAAGACCAAAAGAGTACACATCCACACTTCTATCAAATATTTCATCTTTAAAAATCTCAGTTGCCACATACAAACCTACATTTAGCAAGGAAAAAAATTTGGGGTCAAACAGCAGTTCGGGACCAAATCTCTTCCAGCAGTGGATGGAAAAATGTAAATTCAACCAGATTCCTCTAGCATATGCCCGATAATTATATCATATCTTATCTTCAAACTATATAAAGGAACTCCTCAAATGTATGATGCTACACAAGTATTTTGTGTACATGTCTTACTTGTACGATCTATGGCTTCAGGACGCTCCAGTTTAAATTTGTCCTCTGAAACTTTGGATAATCTAAGCACACCAAATCCAGCAACCTTCAACTGCCCTCCACAATCCAGCAAAATATTTCTGGCACCTTACCAAGACTTCAAATATTAAAAAGTGCAAGCAATCATAAAGTCGAATTCAAGAATATATATATATTTTTTCTATATAAAAGAACCAACTTAAGCATTTAGTTTCCTTACTTTGGCTTTAAATCACAATGAATAACTGGGTCTGGTTTGCATTCATGAAGATAATTCATGCCCCTGTCAAGGTGGTTAAATTGCCCGAACCATCAGAATACAAACTAGACAGAATCAGCCCGCACCCAACAACACACAAACACTAAACAGAAGAAAGAAGCAGCAGCAGAAGAAGAAAAAAGGAGGATCATATGCAAATAATGAAAAATAAACAGCAATTCAACTTCTTATATTTTCCATATATTTTTTCAAAACCATATTACCTGGCAATTTCAAGAGCAAATCTTAATGCTTTAGATGGAGATAGCCGTCCTTTCTTTTGAAGATAGCTACCTAGGTCACCCTGAAGATTAATAACATATATGAGCAAAGCAAAGCCAAACAAATATGGAATTTATAGTTTATTCAATGCTAGGTTAATCAACACCATTGCAAAGAAAAAATTCAGGCTAAGAATAATTAGATACTAGAAACCAATCCACTTCATATTCGACTCAGAAACTTCAAAAGAGAATAAACAAAAAGAAAAGTAAGAAAAGTGGACAATCTGGAAATTTATTCCCATGAATTGATTGATTGTCAGCATTTGCCATAAATTTAACAAATTTAGCCACATCTATTCAATGCTCAGGTTAATCAACACCATTGCAAAGAAAAAATTCAGGCTAAGAATAATTAGATACTAGAAACCAATCCACTTCATATTCGACTCAGAAACTTCAAAAGAGAATAAACAAAAAGAAAAGTAAGAAAAGTGGACAATCTGGAAATTTATTCCCATGAATTGATTGATTGTCAGCATTTGCCATAAATTTAACAAATTTAGCCACATAAACCAATTACAACTTGCACAAACACATGCATATCCACGCTTTGCCAAATAAGAAGAATAAGAGCATGCCTGTGGCCGTGGGGTGTATATATACACATGTAGAGAGAGATGATTACCTTTGAATGATACTCCAAAACAATCATCATAGGCATTTTCTGGGTGACAGCACCAATAAACTGAACCACATTAGGATGTCGGACCTTTTCTAACAAAGTCAACTCATGCTGGAAAGCATTTCTGCAACATAACGCATATAAAAGATATACAGAATGTGTAAACCATAAACTTAAACAAACCCAAAAACTAGTAATTGAGAAATGTGTTAGCATGACAATCCCAAAAGACAAAATCAAACTTTACAGCTCCAGGAATTACACAGGAATCAAGAAGAAACTGCTTAAGAAGAAAAACATGTGTTATTAATTATTACAATGGCATGGGACTTGGAAATACCTTACTCCTTTTCAATTTACTAATTAACCGCACTCTGATTTGTAAGGACCCAGATATTCTAAATAAAATCTCAAATTTAAATTTATCTCTTTGTCAGAACCATTGGTAAGTTTCACACTAGAGTTTCTGAAAAATACTTGATTATAAGCAAGCAAATTCTATAATTATAAGTCAAGTACCTAAAATGGAAAAGGTACGAGAGCCTTTGATGTACTTGACTAGGGATTTATCACTACATACATCAGTGAATATTGAGAGTTTTATATTCAAATGCACGTTGCATTATGCTGACTCTAATTTTAGTATGTAATTTCATATTGATATTAATAATTGAAATATGGACGGTCAAATTCAAGCTAATATTCTTTGCAATCCAGTGTTCCACAAATAATTAGTTTCTATAAGCTGTTAGACTTGTTCATTATCACCACAGACTTAGAGTTAACTTTCAGGTGTTGTGAGACCAATAATAAAGATAATGCATTCCCATGAAATCAATAACTACGGTGGACTATCATTATGCACAGCTATTGACACAGAAATATAGACTAATGGAAACAGATTTTGGAAAATCTGAGTTCTTGCGAGCAATAACATAGAATTTTTCCAAAAAGATAGATCAATTTTTCATATCTTTTATACAAACATAACCCGATAGAATGATTAACTATGAAGCATTGACATAGACACGTGTCAGACACGCCGAAACGCGATTTTTCAAAAAAATCCTGACACGACACTTCTTCAAAACATTGATTAAATTCTCTAAAATTCTTCATTTATATAGTATAAATTTAGTTTTATACTTGTTATTAATTTTTCTTATTGAAATCTTTTAAATAGAAATGCCTATTTGTGATTTAATAATAATTTTGAGTTAAAAAAATATATTATTTTTGATAAAAAGGAAAAATGACCATGACAGAGTGTCCGAAGAGTGTCGTATTCAACACGTCTCTGATATAGACACAGGACACTCTACCCTAGTTGAAGAGTCCATTCTACAAAGATGAATAATATTCAACTAAAATTCACTCTAGGAATCGATAATGGAAAGGTTTTTCACCTAACAATTAGACAAAGTACATTACTTATGTCGAGCTCACAAGAATGACATAGGACGCAATGCTGCAATTAGACGCAAAAGGGTGTGTTGGAAGGGGGGGGGGGGGGGAGAGGGGGGGGGGGGGGGGGGGGGGGGGGGGGGGGAGAGAGAAATTTTACTTGGAAAAACTAATTTGAAATAGCAATTTTTTATTTTATTTTATTTTTTATTATTATTTTTAAATACGTGGAAACATTCTTTTTCAATAAACATTTGCCCAGCCTAATTTTTTTAACCCCTTCCGACTCTCCCCCTGTTGCAATCAAAACTAGTCATGTATGATTTCTCGGAACTGGTAGGTCCAAAATTATTCGTATTAGCACTGATGTAATAAGTGCATGTTGTTGGAGGCAAAGGGGGGACTTTAGAACTTAAGCAGCATGCTAGAATTTAATAATGCAATATAGTCATGGTTCTTTTAGATTTTCTCCATAAACATCTTATTCGCACGTTAATTTATAAGCTCCAAACCTAATCAGTTGGTATTTACGATAAAAGCATAAAGTAACAATCTGTTTCAGAATTCTCAGCAAACAAAGAGCTGAAGAGAAGGTATTCAGAATATACATGCTTTCAGGGTCTGAATAGCTTTCCTTGTCAAGTATCTTAACAGAAACTTTTGTGCCATTCCATTTAGCGACTTGATATGATCCCTGGCCAAAGTTATCAAAAATAAATGAATAATATAAATGTCATAGTTGAATTGATGGGGCACTACGAGAGTAACAACAGTAACAGGGGTGGCATGGATATTAGACAGATTCCAGTCTAATTAATTAGAAGCGAAGGTAACAATAAAAATGCAAATCTGTGGATATAACAATAAAAATGCAAATCTGTGGATATCATAGTCTCTTTTCAATGATATAAATGACAATTGCAAAGCTGACTTTCAGCAGTAAAAAGTTTCATTATAACATATTAGAATTGAAAACTTGAACAAATGAATTTAGCAAGGAATAGATTAAGGCATTTGTAGAAGCAAATGAAATTTCTCTCAAAAGTTTTTCCATCAAAAAGAAATATATGTAGATAAGAGGAAATAGATCACACCTTAGAGATGCCATCGCTTTTCCGGATTTGAATGTCAAGTGGACTGAGCTCATATTCTGGAACTTCACGAGGATTTGCAACCACCATTGGCGTCTTTCTGGTTTTCTAGGAACATAGCATACACTTCTATGAGTGTCATGAAAGAAGAAAGAAGCTTCCCAACCTAAACGAGGATCATGTTCACACTTACAGGAACTTTAGCCCCTCGGGCCTTCAAAATATTGTAAACTTCAACATTTCCATAATACTTTGCATCAGCAGCAGCCTGTCACAATGAATTAACTTTTACACGAAGACATATGTGCAAGACAACGAAGAAAATGACAAGAGTTTGAAAGATGGGGACTGGTTTGACAGCCCAATAACAAGAGGAAGCAAGAAACATTACACTTAGGACCTTTCTTAGTCCTTCACGTCCATCATCCAGCAGATACATGTATCATGCATGGTGTATATGGTTTATAAACTAGTGTCCATTACAACAGCCATCGATACCAACTTTGTCCACTAGGAGATTTGAGGAGTGACAATACTCCATTTTTCAATTGCCTAAATTTTGAATTGACAGACTTCCTAAAATTATGTTCATGAGCATATATTAATCCTGAAGTCATTACAACTGACAAATGTGAAATTACAGCATGTGAAGAGGAGAGTAACCCTTTAGACAAAAGAAAACATAAAGTCTGGCTTACGAGTCACCGCCAAGCAGAACATGGGGTCCTTTGGAAAAGTGCAAAAGGTTCACTAACCTAGCCCAAGAATGAGTGCCTCCAGGTAGTTTCATATAGATTGTTTTATGTTGTTTTTTTAATTCAATCAGTGAAGACCTACTTGAAATGAAAAGAAAAACAAGATCTATGCAGATATATGGCCCAGGTTGCAGGTTTTCTTTTAAACTCATTTGAGTGGATTTAAAATCTCTTTGTTTTCATGGCAAAGGCTCAGATATACTACTTTTTCATCCACAAAACACTTCCAAGCCCCACTTTCCCCTTTTCTGAAGGAACAATCCAGAAATTTAAGGGATCAAATACAAGAAACTTTATAGATTTATGTCCTCGGCCATATCATCCTTATCGCAAAAGCAAAGCAGAAACGACAAGTTTACATATGATTAACAAATAGAAGCACATGACTTGATGATTAGGTTGAAGCCAATTTCTCCAAGGACCCATTTTCCAAATCTTCATTTTGTTTCAATAACAATCCGTGATTGCCAACTCTAACCAATCCTTATGTTAGGTGTTTGGCAACTTCCTTAGTTAGGAATAAGATGGTAAATCATTCATATGGTGTTTTAAGGTGGATTATGAGTTTCCATCATCGCCATTGTTTCTGGATATTTAAATAAATCCCAAGATTGGTCAATAGAAATCAACACTTGAAATTATTTCTTCAGTTTAATTGAAATTTCAGTTTTTTCACATTTCAAAACTATATTATTACACCAAGTGTAAACATATTGCTCAGCCATAACACATAAACATGTTACATCTCAAAACCACAAGGAAATACGATTCTTCTTTGATAAGAACAAGAAAAACAATAGGAATATACACTAACAGGCATATAGAAACATAGTATCCCTGCATAATTAAGGAGCCAAATGTAACAAAAAATGGACTTTCAAGACTAAATCACATCAAAATTTCACAATATTAATCAATATAAAAAAAATATCCTGAACAGATCAAAACCAAAGGAATCAACAATACCAACATTAAAAAAATCCAGCATTGACTGCTGCCCCCATTCTGTTCAATATAATGTCCTCAACAGAGCAAAAAAAAAGGGGAACGAACTCACAAAGTTAGCACACAAATGCACATTACAAGAAGCAAAATGGATGAACCAAATAAACCAAAATTAGACTAATAACAATAAAATAAATCTACCGTGCTGCCCCATCGATCGTGGGCATCAATATTCGCCCTCCTACTCAACAAAAGCTTGACAACCTCAACATGCCCCTCGCAGGCTGCAATGTGCAAAGCAGTCCTCCCGTCCAAATCAATGCTATTGACATCAATTCCTTCATCAAGCAAATCCTGCACACCCTTGACGTCACCTTTGCATGCCATTGACAGCAACTGCATCGTGGAATCCAAATTCTCTGGAACCGTCAATCCATCATCCTCTGCCAATGGGCCTCTCCTAATTGGATCCATGGATGATTGCCTACCGAAGCTAAACCGGAAATTATTCCGCTTAGGGTCCATTGAAATCTGCCTCTGGAAACTGAATTTTCCGCTCTTCTTGAACGATCCTGTTGACAATTGGCGCGAAATCCCGCGCTTTAATTGGGCGGCAGTATCCATGTCAGTTAGTAAATTCTTTCAGTTCTAGAACAAATCCTTCACGCGATTTTTCCGGGGCTGGCTCTATTGAATGATGAAAGAATACCCATTTTCCGTACAACGTAATACGATTGATAATCCTCGGATTGTTATCGAGAGCTGGGAAGGAGCTCTCGACGGCGAGGAGAGGAATGGATCTGAGTGACTGAGAAAAGTAGATAGAGATTGGGAAATTGTTTGTATATTTTATTCCACACATGGCCCGGAAAAGACGTTACTACAGTTTGTTATTTTGTGGAAAGAAATCCTTTGCATTCTGTGAGGCCTGTTTGGCATTCTTTAACAAATTAAATTATTTACTATAGTAACATTCTGTATTATACATTCACACAATAAAATATTTTATACATAAATTAATAAAAAAAAATTCAAATTTTAATCACATATTCTCAAAAACATATTATTCAAAACTATAGAGTGTATTTGATTGAGATAGAAAATATCATTTAGAAAAAAAAATATTTTCCTTCTTTTGTACAAAGTAAAAACCACATCTACCTAAGAAAATTTTTTTCCTTAAAAATAAGGAAAAATACGCATATTTTCAAAAGTTGAAAAATATTTTCCATGAAAAAAATTAGAAACCAAACAATTAAAGTAGGAATTTGGGTGAAAAATTAATATTTTTCATGAAAAATAAATGTAATGAAACATACCCTTATAATTTCTCCCGTAATGAGACAAACATACTTTAAAAAAGTAGGGATAAAAGTGGGGGCTAGATCCTGTCTCTTATCCATTAGGCTCCTTAATATGCGGTCCAATTTTAAATGAAGAATAAAACTCGAGTGAATATTGACAAGACCGTCCTTGTTCCAATTCCCTAATGAGACAAATGTCTCGTTTGGTACACGTTAATATAAAAATGAGAATGAAAAATATAGTTATTACGGATCCCACATAAGATATATAAAGTTAAATATGATGATTTAATATGATGAATAACGATCATATTTTTTTATTTTATGAGAAAATATTGGGAAACAGACGGGGAGGCAAAATCTTAAATGGAGAAAAGAAATCAAATATTACTTGAATTTAAAATTGTTAGATTAACCAAAAATAACCAAGTTTCCCAAGCTCCCTATTGTTCCCCAAACTCCGCCATCCAACGATAATTCGGACCGCAACTTTATATGTACTCTTACGTCCATATATATCCCACTTTATGTGTACGGACTTGTTTAGAATGAATTGAAATTATCTCAGTTAAGGTATGTGGTAATTGTTTTTAATCTATTTGATTTGATGTCCCATAAGAGTGCTAATATTTGATTAATCCAAGTAATATGGTCAGATTATTGTGAAAACAAAGTCAAATGTACAATGCTTTGGAAAGTATGTGAGAATCGATGGAAAAATAAGTGTAGAGGATTTATTGTTCAATTGGCTAACAACGTAATGTGTGTGGTTAAATCTCTCAGTATTCTCCTTATCCATTTTGATAAAAATATGGCGAAAATGTTGAATTTCTTTTCATAATTACATTTGCGGGAAATTATCACCCCATCTCCGAAAATTGTCTACTTTTTGTCAAATAGTCATGTGAAATAATGAAAAGTTTAAATTATAAAGACATTTTGGAAGAATGAATCACGTGCTTTTCGAGTGACTATTTGATGAAAATTTCCGTCCATCTACCCTTACGTGCACCAAAAACGTTAGTTTGAAGACCTAAGCTTGACAAAAATAAATGAGAAACCAAGTGAAACAAGTGATAATATTTGGGGAACATGGGAGAGAATTTTCCTTTCAAAAATCTGATTATAATTTTCTTATTATTAGTTATATTTGGTTATGCGCTTTTATATGTGAGATATAAATTGTTATTTGGAAGGGTGAATTACACAAAATATTAGACAATCTGGACCGACATCCACGAGAATTAGCTTATCGACTCCTCACAAGGAACCACCATCACCTGCTGTCCAACATTGCGACCAGATGACAGCCCCACAAGAGCAGCCGGTGCACTTTCAAGGCCTTCGACTATATCTTCTATAGAAGTTATCTTTCCTTCTTTTATACGTGAAAGCATCATTTCCAAAAACTTAGGATAGAGGTGGTAGAAATCAGTAACAAAGAATACTTCCATACGAATACGTTTAATTACAGTGTAGAATAAGTTGTGTACACCTTCCGGCTGCTCGAGATTGTACCATGAGATCATTCCAGAAACAGCTATATGACCCTTGATTTTCGTGTTGAGAAGCACTACATCAAGCATCTTTCCTCCAACATTCTCAAAGTAAATATCGATTCCATTAACAATTTTACAATGAATTTTGTAAAACTAAAGCAACCGTGCAAGAATTTGAAATATTTGCAATTGTCTTTTTTCCTCTGACGAGGCACTAATACTGAATAGGAACTAAACAAATCACAAACTCAATTCTATTCATGCAGCCGGACTTATTAAGACTTAAAACCCCACATAGTGCAATCACAGTTCATCTCTGGAAGAAGAGAAGTTAAAACTCACCTTTTTAAAGCTGCAGTTAAATCTTGCTCTTCTTCATAGTTAAATGCATCATCAAATACGATTTTTTCTTTAACAGATGAACCTTCAACAAGAAGAGAGAAAGTAAGTAAAGAGCGGAAATGCTTGTGATATTCAGAGATATACCATATTAACTCTTCCGACACATGAAATATACATCATCAAATGTCAAAAGTGATGGAAAAATGTTGTTCAATAAATCAATAAACACAAGTGTGGAACGAAAGAGAAGATGGGAGCCAATACTTTAGCCTATGCGACGGCATAGGCCTGTTCATAGGCCAACAGGCCATGCGTCGCATAGCCATTAACCGAAAAATGGAGGCTGGGTTTTGTATAAACCATGCTATGCGACCGCATGGGAATACACCATGCGGTCACATGGTAGTAATTTAGTGACCGTTGGAGGTCGTTTTTAGTTAGTTTTTTGGCGGCTTTTGGAGGGTTTCATGCAACCTTTCAACATGGTTTTGACACCAATTTGTGGCATTGATTGAGGCCTATAAATAGGCCATGGATAATCAATGAAAAAATATTACAAATAATAAGAAAACCACTCGGAACTATTTTTTATCATAATCTTCATTCCACAAAGAAGAAATCGAAGTTTTCTTCATCCTTATTCAATATTCCCTTTGTGTTCTTCAAGTTTTGGAGAATTTATATAAGTGCTTAAGTATTAATTCTCTAAAAGGCTTGATTACTCCTACAAACCATTTGCTGCGAGACTCTTTAAGCACCAAAATTGTTATCGAGAGGGGACAAATATCGTTTGAGGACAACGATGTAATATCGTGTTTGAACCTTTCATTTCTTCTTTGTTCTTCACATTTATTTCATTTTCTTGATATCGCTTCTATGTTGTTTCTTCTCCAATTTCCCCGATGGCGTTAATCTTCCAATAATCTAAAACGATATTTGTTTGCAATGGAGAATGAAATATGGCAACAATCAAGTTGATGGATCGAGATTCTTGTTTGTATGGACTGCTTGATGAGACGAACTTTACAAGAAGATTCAATTGGAAGAAAGACATGAGTCCAGATTCTCGCATTAGGATACGGTAAATTTTGCCTTCTCCAAATTTAGTAAGTCAAAGTGCGTTTCGATTTCACATATACGTGCAGCATGTTTTGTGAATATAATGTGTGCAAAACATCAGTATTATATTCCAACAACCTTAAAATGATTATTGCGTTCGTTGTGCATTTTATATTTTAATTCGAATATGGAATTCAACTTGGGTATTTTCTCTAAGAAAATACTGGTATTTGATCATCATGTGTCCTCTATATCCAGTTTTAACTTATGAAGGAGTGTCGTCCTTTTGGCAGAATAAATTTTCTAAATTTAAGACTCACATGCCAATCGTTGTGTTAAACTGCCTCTATTTAAAAAAACAAATAATATCCTGGGATGCACTTTCATTTTCAGCATGTTGAATAATAATTGGAAAACAATTGGAATAATATGACAGCTTTTCAATTAATATGATAACGGTTGGGGCCTAAAGTTGTATGATAAGGTTCTGTTATTGAAATAACTTGTAATTATGAGTTCATTCATGGATTGCATGTATTTTTGAATTGAAAAAATAGAATATTCTGTCCATTAGTCTCTGCATGTACTCATATTATTTTCTGATATAGTAATACTCTTTTGGAATCATTTAGTGGTGTATAAAATGGCATACTGTCATCTGTCTTCATTTATGAAAGGACATGACTCATAAGTATGTATGCCTTCATGTTTCGTACATATTAAAGTGAATAATTGTGAAATTCAAAATTTGAGTATATCTGTGAATGAAAGATGACCCATCAAAATTAAGGCAGAATCTGAAATTGCATATTTACAAGTCCTGTGGAATCTTCTTTGTAAAATACAAGTGTTTCATGCCTAAACATTTAATTGGGTTGTGTTGATTTGCAAGAGATATAATAAGTTAAGATATCACAGAAAATCCCAAAAATAAAGCTTGCCATGCATTTTGTATTCTACTTTTGAAGATCAGTATGTATTATATAATCATATTGCTTGCAATTGTCTGTCTATTTGCATATGCATGCGGTTCTGGTTCGTAAAGTAGTTTACAAGTTGGGGACTCTCATTTTGAATGAAATTTGAATCAGTTGATGACTATTCAGTAATTGACGGCATATGAATCTGAACTTACTTGAAATAATACATGGAGAAAATAATAAATTACTCTCCGTGTTAAATCTATCAGAATGCAAACAATTTGAGACTCAAAGTAAAGCATAACTGGATAACCCTATACGTGATAGTTGGTTTTGTACAAATACATGTGATTTAATTTAGTTTGGCCAGTGAATATTCGGTAATGCAAAGGAAATGGAAAATTACATGTGATAACTTTTGTGTCTCTTTCCTTGTATTCGGTTATATGAATTTTGTGAAAGAAATATGAACCTATCAAAAGGAATATAAATTGATGCATGCTATAAGTGCAATATGGGAATGATAAGGTTCATATGCATGGAATAATAATGTTGTGAAAATGCCAACTAATTGTCCGATTGATTTTATGTCTTGCTGAACTCAAATTAGCTTGGGTTAATATTCATAGCCTCATTTAATTCTATGGAATTAAGTGAGACGATCCTATGCCAATTATATTTGGATAAAAGCATAACAAATTGTGATTTGTCTTAATTTATTTTAAAGCGGAA